TCCTGGGCAAGGCCTGCCACCATGCGTGCCACGCCAGGAGCTGCAGAGCAGCAAGGGTCAGCATGTGTCGGGGAGGTGGCTGGCGGGACAAATGATCAAGATAGACCACAAGGAGAGAGGGGAAAACCACTGCAAGGGTTGTGCCTTTTGGCTGCACGGTGCTGTATTAGAAGGGGAGCGTTTGCAGATCTCCACTGCAACCCTGGCACAGGGAGCCAGCTCGGGGCTGCTTGGCATCAGCTCTTCTGGCTGCAGTGGCTGATACCACCACCCACTTTTGTTTCCACCAGCCCAACACTGCATCACCACCATCTCAAGGAAATCAGTCTGGCTGCCCAGTTCACCCCAAGTGCCAAGAGGCATCAGCTCCACTTTCAGGTAAAAAGATTTATTAAGAACCTGCAGTGCCTGCCCGAAAGGTGAGTGCCTCTTGGCGTGTGCACTGAGCAGCAAAGCAGCGGGAAGCGGGGTGAGTTGGTTAGCAGTACTCCAGGCAAAACAAATCCGTGCCAAAGACAGTGACCATATGAAACGGAGTGAGCTCAGGGGGGCAGAAAGGTGTTGGGAGCAAGTCTGCCTTGCAGAGCACCTAGAGCCTGGGCTCTGCTCTCTGCCAGGGCAGCAATTAAGGCATAGAAAGTGCTCAGAGGAAGACCAGCCCTATGGAAATGCTAAATAATGTGATCGCAGGCTCAGCGGCCGGGCAGGAGGAGCTAGGCTGTGGCTGAAGGCCACCCAAGCAGGCTGCTGTTCTTCAAGGTCAACTCCCAATTCACAGCGGACCCCTCCGAGTGCTGAGATGGGACCAGCCCGGGAGGGAAACGTGCCCCGCGTGCAGCCTGCGCCGGCCACCCTTCCCTGTCGTGTCCACAGGCCCAGGATGGTGCTGCCCGTTTGCTGCGATGAATGCGTGTGGCAGCAGCTTGTGGCAGTCACAGAGGGCACTGCTGTGCCCCATGCCGTTGTTTGGTGTGCTCTGCAGCGGCATGGACCAGCGAGCGACCTGTGCTTGGTGCTTAGAGAAAGCCCTGCATAGCCCCGCACGAGGACTGGCTGGAAGCATGGAGAGATCCCATGCCCACACATGCCTGCCACGTCACCACACACACCTTTGTCATGATGGATGCCGGTGTTTTGGCCATCTGATGGACATCCACCTGGTCACACGAGGGGATGGAGGTGGGAGTTGGCCTTCCCCAGCCGAGAGACTGGGTGCCACGGGAAACGAGAGTTTTGCTCACGGTGTCAAGGGAGTGCAATAAATAAACCGTTCAGAACGACCCCCACACGCCTGCTGGGGCAGATCTGGGCAGCCTCCCCGGCAAAGCTCTCAGGGTAGGTCCTAAACTGTTTTGCAGCACCCCAACCTCCAGCCTGCAGAAAACACTCGTTTCAGCCCATTTCCAAGAGCAACCAGTGCTTGCTGCGGTATCAGACAGGCTGCTCACCTTGCCCGCTGCAAGCACGTGTGTTGGAGTGTGCAAGCGTGTTCGAGAAGCAGCTCTTTAAAGGCTGTGATTAAAATGTTCACCCTTGCCTGAGTTGTGGTTTGAAAATGAGATGATGAGGAACTGTCCCCGGTGAGGCCGTGCCCCAGCCGCTTGTCGTATCCGTGCCCTCTGCAGCACAGGAGCCGGCAAGCGTTAGGACTCCTCCCCAGCAAGAGCAGCCTGAGTCATGTGGTCCCCTGCGAGCGAGAACATCTGTTTGGGGGTTGTGTGCTTTCAGCTCTTTCTCCCTTGTGATTTTTTTTGCAGATGTACCAAGAGGGGTGTTCTCACGGGTGGCAGCTGCTCTCAGCATCAGTGTCTCCGGAGCCGGCCCCGTGCACGGGAGGGTGATTTGCCAAGAGGACCTGGAGCTGCCATAGTGGGGACGGGTCTCCTGCAGACAGTTTAGGGGCACTTCTGCAAGACAGCCCCATCGTGGCCAAGAAGGAGGAGGTGGGGGTGCGCGGGGGACACCCTCATAGCACCTCCTAATCCGGCACCCTCCAGCCTGCCCGGTGGCCAGGGCACAAGACAGCCCCCTGACAAATCCTCGCGCTCCCTTTCCAAACGCTCCCTCCTTTCTTATTTGAAGAAGTACAGATTGCTTTTCCCTGGAATGCTTTTGTCTAAAATTCCCTTGATGGGATTAAGAAAAAAATGGACAACAGGTAAAAAATAACTATTCCCCTGCCCCAGTCCCCTCTGAAAGGCTGGGGGTGTGCTTGACGATAACTCTGTCCCGGGCAGGGGATGCTGGTGATGGGATCTGGGGAAGAGTGGGACATCTGGGGGCCTTTCTCTTGTCACCGGGAGATGGGGGGACATAAAGCAGTAGGAACTGGGGATACGTCCCAGGACTGGCACCTCGCCAGCCCACCAAAAGCCCTCTCTCTCCTCTCACCCCAGACATCAGCGTTTTGTGTCGGGAGCAAGAGGAGGGCCAAAGCAAGGGGGGCTGAGCGGAAACAGCAGCGGGGCGAGTGGAGGAGGGGTCGGCCGCAGCGGGTACCGGGGCGTGCGCCTCGGGGGGACGGGAACGGGGAAGAGGGGTGCCGGGGACAGGCGAGACCCCCCCGGCCCCTCACTGCGCCTGGAGGGAGAAGGCCAGCTTGAGGC